GAAACTTGGATTACCAACAAACCACCAGTCCACCACCTTTGAAGCAATTGCTAGCTGGACTCAGTGATGCCTATCATTCCAAGCTACATCTAATTCTTTTAAAATGGACAATAAGAAAATAGAAATATTGTAGGGGAGAACCGAGAGGCTTTGGTGGATAAAATCCCGTAGAAAATTACTTTCTCTGTTTTATATTTTTATTTTTAATTTGACCTATTTTATCTTATTAAAAAAGTTTTACGAAATTATAAGAAAAAACTATATGAAGTAGAGGGAATACTAAATTTGAATATGTTTAGGATAGAATAATCAATTTTTTTATTTACAACCATAATTCTAAAAATCTCTTCCAACCCTTTTTTTTTTCAAAATTTGACTATAGGACTCAAATTTAGTTTCAAATCCTTAGTCAACCAAACACTTTTATAGAGATTTGAACTAGTTACATGCCTTTATTTATGCCATCAAACCTCTCTCAACTAAACAACTATTTTAGATATGATTTGGGTCTACCTCAAACTCTTTTAGATTGGATCAATTTTGCCAAAGTCAAGTGTGGCAGGGGGCTGGGGCAAGTATTTCAAGGAACAAAACATACTCGGATATTTTATTTATTATTAATGTAAGAAATTCCACTAGTGATATTGATAGAATTCGGTTGGATTACAGTTATTATTTATGACTAGTCCAAAGTATTATATGCCACCCTAACTAATTCTACCTAGCTCGGCTATAACCTTCTCAACTTAATTTCACTTAGATCAAGCTTAACAAGTTCATGTTATTTAAGATAAGATAAAGCAAAACCTAGTAAACTTAGAGATGATATCCAAAGTCAAATAAGATAAAATAAAGATATAGGCTAATAAGTTATAGGATAAAGGATAATAAGTTCACATAAGATTAGTTCATAATAAATAAGATACTAAAAAAAAAAAGATTTCTTCATTTTACAAAAATAAAATCAAGTTCAATTGAGATTCACATGGTTAATATATTGCCTTATTGAGACCAAATGCAGCTGCAACCTGAACATGACTTAGAAGTCACCTATCCAAATAATCGAATACCTAAATAAAACAACAATACATATCCTTCCTAACCAATATAAAAAAGATGGCATCATCAATTTAGAGTAAGAAAATCATGACTAACATCACAGTAAACCTGGGCACCGTGCCGGGCTGTGCCGCCGCGGGCCGTGCCTGGCGGGCCACGGGCTGGTTCGTGCCGTGCCGTTCGTGCCGGCGGGCCCAGGATTTCGTGCCGTGCCGTGCCGGCCATTTTCACAGGCCAGCCCACGGCACGGCACGACCCTCGTGCCTGGCGGGCTCGTGTCGTGCCGGCCACGTGCCGGCCTGCGGGCTGGTGCAGTTTTCAAATAATTTTTTTTTTTATTTATATATGACAACATTATAAATTAATAAGTTTATAATGTATATAAGTTATAAAATTATAATTATAAGTTTTATAAGGTTATAACTTATAAGTTTATAACTTATAAGTTATAAGTTATTAAGTTATGAATTTTATAATTATAAGTTGAATATTTATGTTTTATAATTTGTATATTCAATATTTATATTTATATATTTACTTTATACTATTACTTTAAAATTTAATGTTTATGATTTATTAGTAATTGGTATAATTTTATTTTTTTTAATATGAATTTACAAATTGTAACAAAACGGGGAAAAAAGGCAAATTGGACTTTGGATGTGAATAATGCGTACTTTATATTATTATTACTTGAGTTGAGAAAATTGTACAATGATAACAATGATAAAAATCATACAATGATGGTATTAAACAAAAATTGGAAAATGATAAAATTGATATTTTTAAAATCGTACAATATACAACAATTGTCTATTCTTCTTCTTCTTCTTCTTGCTCGTCTTCGTCTTCGTCTTCGTCTTCGTCTTCGTCTTCGCCTTCGCCTTCAAGGTCATCGGCTAGTTGCATAGATTGGGAACTAGCCGAACCCGAACCGGAAGCGGAGGTTCCTTCTTCGTTGTCGTTGTGGTCGTAAGAACGGTCTTGTGAGCGATTTTCCGCATCCAACCAATCTTTGAAACACACGCACATTTCTAGTGTTTCGGGTTTTAGACTTGTTCTTCTATCGTCTAAAACCCTTCCGGATGCGCTGAAAGCTCGTTCGGAGGCGACGGAGGAAACTTGGATAGCAAGAATGTCTCGTGCCATTGCCGCCAAAGTTGGATGCTTCGAGCTTTGTTGTTTCCACCATGCAAGGAGGTCGAGGCTGTTTATCTCATCGTCGTCCATGCCTTTGGTGAAGTCGTAACTCAGGTACATCTGTAACTTTGAGACGTCGCTTTGCGTTCTCCTGATTGATGAATCACCTGAAAACCTTGAAATCAAGTTAGTAGCTTGTGAAAATAAATGTTTGGCCTTCTTACTTACGTTTTTGGATGGTTGGGAAGGCCCTGAGCGAGGAACGGTGCCATATTTGGCTTCATAGACTCTATATAAAGCAAAAAACTGATCCTTCACATTAGTCTTATAGTTTTCTACATCATCGTCAAGAAACATGCATTGAAAGTAACTGTCAACTAACATAAATGTGTTTTCATACTTTTGCCTAGGATCTAATATGGAAGCAAAAATATAAATCAAAGGAATCTCACTATAATATTTACGCCACTTTTTTTCCATTGCTGAAAGATACTGATCATAATCACTTTGATGGCGATGATCAGTGAAAAGTTGGGCGAGTAAGCATGCATTAGAAAGAAAGTTTTGAGCACAAGGATTGTAAACAGTAGAAAAACAATACGTCATGTTATATAATAACTGTAAAAATTGCATATATCTTTCACAGTTATTCCAATCATCATCATACAAAGCATTTTGTGGAAATTTTTGGTTGTAAAATAATGTTAACGGGCCCTTGTACTCAATTGCCTTTGTTAACATGTCATAGGTGGAATTCCACCTAGTTGGGCAATCGGTTCTAATTTTTATTACCCTTATCTTTTGTTGTTTTAGAAAACTCTTCCATTCTTGGTATCTCATGTTAGAGCTATTAATAGACATAATAGCATCTCTGATTTCGCTGTAGTATGGGCCAATTGCCCGAACTCCATCCTGTACACATAAGTTAAGTACATGGCAAACACATCTAGTATGAAGAGCTTCACCGTCTAATAGTACATCGGTTAAGTTTTGTTTGATAAAATTAGCTGTGTATGTCATAGAGGTTGCATTATCAAAAGTCATAGACATCATTTTATCTCGAAGGTTGTATTCGTCTATTGCTTGCATTAAATGGTGAGCAATGTTAATGCCGGTGTGTGGGTATTCAGCATTTTGAAATGTATTATTCTTTTTTGTAACATCCATTGATCATCTACCCAATGGCAAGTCACACATAAATAGTGATATTTATAACCACTATCCCAAGAATCGGCTGTTAAAGATACTCTACAGTTAAGGTTACTCAATTCGGCTTGTAACCGGACTTTGTACTCTAGGAAATTTTTCATTGCGGCGGAACGAACGGTTTTCCTAGAGATTCTTTTATGTTGGGGTTGTAGTGCTTTGTTAATGTAGGTGTTGAATGCGTCACTTTCCGAGAAAAGAAAAGGTTGTTCGGCGTGTACTATCATTTTTCCTAGTTCATCCCTATCCCTCTCATAGTTGTATGTAAAGCCGTATGGATGGAATTGGGAAATTTTGGGCTGGGTTGGATCACTAGCTGGTTTTGCACAAGCTTTCATGTGTTTAGATAAGTGTCCCGTCCCGTTTTTGGTAACTGTCGTGAATACACTATTACATGTTTTACATTTTGCCCATTGTTCACCATCTTTACTTAGGACAAAATAACGCCATACCTCACTCCTTCGGTTTTTCAAAAGTAGCATCTCAGTTTCGGTTAACCATTCATGATGTGTGTGATGGTTAGTAGTGGGACTAGTGGGAGTGGCAGTAGAAGGGGTAGAACCGGAGGGAATTCGGGTACTTTCTTGGCTACCTGGGCTAGAACAATAGTTTTGTTGATCACCGATATAATTAGGTGGAAATTGGTATGGTGGTAGTGGAAATTGGTTTAGTGGTGGTGCTGGAAATCCCGACGTATTATATGGCTCATAGCCCGGGGGGAAGTAAATGGGGTCATTGGTTTGACTCGTAATTTGGGGGCTCGTTGTATTTGGTTGTTCCCTAGGATTACTACTACGGATAAGTCGGCCTTTCCCCCTAGACCTAGATGATGGGTTGTTCGATGCCATAATTAACAATTAATTTTTTAATAAAAAGTGGTTAACTATAATAATAATAATTAATAACAACAATTTTAACAATAAAAATATCAATAATAATAATTAATAACAACAACTATAACAATAACAATAACAACAAAAATAAATAATAACAACAATTGTAACAATAATAATAATTAATAACAACAATTATAACAACAACAATAACAATTAACAACAATAATAATTAAACAAGATTATTCTAATAATAACAATAAAACAATAATAAATTTAAGATTAGTTTAGATCTTACAACCGTGCTTCAACGCTCCACTAATTACGATTACGAACTTTTTAATTTTTTCCGATATTAGGAAAATAATTAGAGAATTTAAGAGAATAATTAGAGAATTTAAGAAAATAAGGATTATTAGAGATTTAGAGAATATAAGAGATAAGAAGAAGAGATTGTGATTTTGTGATTTGGGAATGAAATGGAGGTGAGTATTTATAGAATTTTTGGGGAGCAAATTGGCAAAAAACTAGCCGTTTTTTAGCCGTTTTTTTGGCTTATTAAGGAGCTAGAATAAACGGTAACATTACCGTTGGCCCGCGGGCCGTTCCGGGCCGTGCCTGCGGGCCATGGCCGTGCTCGTGCCGGGCCGTGCCTGAGAATTCTCAACCCTGTCCGTGGCACGGCCCGTGGCACGGGAGTTGAACTTCGTGCCGTGCCGGGCGGCACGCGGGCCAACCCGGCCCGTGCCCAGGTTTACATCACACTGCCGTGCTGTAACTAGCCCCACACTTTCATCATCCTTCAAATTTCATAATCCATAATCACAAACTTCCACTCCTAACACCAAAATAAATACCACTCCATCCCATAAATCAAGAACAAGTCCACTTTTTTTATTCAATCTTTTTGTCTTTTTATCTTCTTTTTCAATTATTTTGGACCCTTTTTTAAAGTCTTTATCCTTTTCCAATTTTATCTCTTTTCAGTTTTCACACTCACTCTTAAGTCTTAACAAAATCATATTTCTTCCTTCCTCCTACCAAAAACCAAAACTATACCATACTCCATTATAAACTCAAAACCCCAAAAAAAAAAAACCCCTCTTCTACTTCTTTTATTTTCACTTCGTTTGATAATTTCGTTTACAGTTTTGTGAGAAAACGTATCCAATCTCCCCACACTCGAACAATGAACAACCCAAAGGGCGGCGGCGGCGGCGGCGGCGGCGAAACAACAATGAATTTCGCGGAGCAAGTAGTAAAGGGAAGATGGTTCACAGTATTCGCATCCCTTTTGATAATGGCAGGAGCAGGTGCTACATATCTATTTGGTGTATACTCAAAAGAGATTAAATCATCCTTAGGATATGATCAATCAACCCTTAATCTTTTGGGGTTTTTCAAAGATTTGGGTGCAAATGTAGGTGTATTTTCCGGCCTAATTGCCGAAGTAATTCCTACTTGGGCCGTCCTATTAATCGGATCATCCATGAATTTTGTGGGTTATTTCATGATTTGGCTTGCGGTTACCTATAAAATCGCACGGCCTAAAGTTTGGCATATGTGTTTGTACATTATGATTGGTGCAAATTCTCAAAACTTTGCTAACACTGGTGCGTTGGTTACTTGTGTTAAGAATTTTCCCGAAAGTAGGGGGATTATGCTCGGACTATTGAAGGGTTATGTTGGGTTAAGTGGTGCGATTATGACCCAAATTTACTTAGCCATTTATGGGAACGACTCGAAGTCATTGATTCTGTTGATCGGGTGGTTACCGGCCGCGATTTCGGTTGTATTTGTGTATACCATTAGAACCATGAAAGTAAACCGCCAACCTAACAATGAGGTAAAGGTTTTTTACCATTTCTTGTATGTTTCGATTGGGTTAGCATTGTTTCTTATGGCTATGACTATTTTGCAAAAATTGGTTACTTTTAGTAGGGCTGCTTATGCTGGTAGTGTTAGTGTTGTTTGTGTTATGTTGTTTTTGCCCCTTTTGATTGCGGTTAGGGAGGAGTTTTATATTCGAACTCGAGCCGAGTCTCGGACTTGTGGTGGTGGTGGTGGTGGTGGTGATGGTTCATGTCCTTTGCCTTCCAATAATAGTAATGTTGGTGGTTTTGTTGTGCCAAAATATATTGATGATAATGAGAAGGAGCTTTTGGAGTTTGTTGATGGTAAAAAGAAGGAAAGGTCTTGTTTTCTTACTATATGTAACAAGCCTGAAAGAGGGGAGGATTATACAATTTTACAAGCACTTTTGAGTTTGGATATGGGTATTTTGTTCCTAGCTACATTGTTTGGGTTAGGTTCTAGTTTGACGGCTGTGGATAATTTGGGTCAAATTGGTGAATCATTGGGCTACCCGACTAAGACGATTAGCACATTCGTGTCTTTGGTGAGCATATGGAACTACTTTGGGAGAGTATTCGCCGGGTTTGTGTCCGAAGCACTATTAGCCAAGTGGAAGATCCCACGGCCGCTAATGTTGACACTTGTCCTACTACTCGCGTGTGTGGGCCATCTACTCATCGCGTTCCCCATCCCAGGATCCGTCTACATTGCATCAGTAATCATCGGGTTCTCCTTTGGGGCGCAACTGCCCTTATTATTTGCCATCATATCAGAGTTGTTCGGGCTCAAGTACTACTCCACATTGTTCAATTGTGGGCAATTGGCTAGCCCACTCGGGTCGTACCTACTCAACGTTAAGGTGACCGGGATGTTATATGATAAGCAAGCTATAAAAGAGTTGGCTAAGAAAGGTCTATCAAGGAAAGATGTTAAGGAATTAACATGTCTAGGGTCACGTTGTTATAGACTATCTTTTCTTATTTTGGCAGGCGTTACATTTTTTGGTGCATTGGTTTCATTTATATTGGTGTTAAGAACTAGGGAATTTTATAAAGGAGACATCTATGAGAAGTTTAGGGAGCAAGCAGAGAATGCGGACAAAGAGAAGGGTTTGGTGCTGAGCAAGCCTGCTGCACAAAAAGAAGCTGAATAATTAGTAGTAATTAGTGTTTGTTTTCAAGTATTAACAAATGGTACAAGTGGTTGATTCACTAAATTGTTCCTCAGCTACACTATTATTGCAATACAGTTGAGATTCAATCACGGTTGTAAATTGATTAATTCGGTTGCTATATTACAAAGTAGTATATTTTATATCTAGTGGAAAATATGACTGCATTATGCATGGATTGGTAAAAAAATAAGAATTGTGACTAGTTAACTGCATATGTACTTGTTTTGTTTCTTTTTAATTGACAAGTTTTATTTTAGCCTTATTGCTTGTCGTGTTAGAATTGTTTGGTTATAGAGTTCATGATATCACATGTTGATGATTTATACTTACTCGTACTAGTCATTAAAAATGTTAATAGTCGAATTTGTACATTAATAAATATAATTTAAATTCGTGTTGAACTAAATGAAAATGGAGGAAACATCACCAAAAGATATTGAACAACAACCATAATTGGCGATTTGAATTTGAATTACAAAATTTTAACTAAAATACATTATTAGGATAAAATCATTATATTAAGTCTAATATAGTAATCGTGATTTTAGGACGTTAGGTAGGTAGGGAACGTGGTGGTCAAATCTAATGTAAGCTCATGCATTTGCATATACAATTTCAATTGGTTGTTGGTCCCACGATTAATAATAAATTTAGTGGAGAAAGATATTCAATTCTAAGTTTGTTGACTTGAAAGAATTTCTAATGGATCAGTATAGTATAGTAGGCCGGTTGAGTACAGAGTAGTTAGTCGTGGTAGACCCAAAACTAAAGTAGTCTGGCTTTCTCTTTACGAAATGTACATTTCAAGCTACATTATAAATTGGAGTATTTGTTCAATGTTTTAGTACAGTCCTTTTATTATTTCTCTGTTGCTGCCATAAACAATTCCTAGAGTCACGGCTTCACGGGTGGATTGATTTGTTTTTGGTATCCAAAGAGCCAAAGAGGACAATTATCCCGTACCGGTGTCTCATACAGGTATAAAGTATATCTATTTTGGATGTCTTGTAAATGGTAAAAGACGCAAGTCATACTATACTGATTTCACTCTCAAATATGAAGTATGTTATTTTGGCCTCACTAATTTTGTCTTTCATCAACTTATCTGATTCAATCGATATGAGGAACTGCTTATCTATCAATTAATGAGTACTACGTAAATTACATTGACTTCTTAATTCACAGTAAACGCGCCTCACGCGAGACAACAAACCCCCAAAACCTTGCAGCTTGTGCCCTTAAAGTCCGGGATTTCGAACAAATTAAGAAGCTCTACTCGTTAGTCATTATGCTTGATGGTAACTGTTTAGGGTAAAAATACCCCAACAAGTGGTCCAATCCCATAGTGACACGTGGCCCAACCAAAGGACGACACGTGTCAAAAACGTAAAAGCACCTGAAAGCCGCAAAACGGAGCCCCAATTGGACACGTGCCTTCTCCTGATTGCGTCGCCAATCAGAGCACGAAATTCTAGGGTATTAACCCTAAAGGGGTACACTTTCCCACCCTTATAAATACCCCAATCATTTATGATGGGATGGGGGAAAAAAGACATAATTCTAAGAGTATTGACAACTCCAACTTCTCTCTACTTTCTCTCTCTACATTTATCTCACTTTCCAGTCACTAACTTGATTGTCGGAGGCGAATATTCCGTTAATCGAAATATTCTTTATTTTGCAGGCGTCAAAGACCGTCCGGCTATATTCACGACTAGTATCTCGAGGGTATCTAAAAAACCTCGAACCTCTTAGCGTCGTCTGTGAGGATACTCGTCTGAAATGGCTAAAAATGGTCAGACACCCGATCCTGAATCCCTCGAGATACTGGTCGTGAATATAGTCGGATGATTTCTCAAACCATACCTTCTCTAAGCATACCAGCTCGCCCAGGATCAGCAGAAGTCAAACTCACCGTACTCCAACTCCAGTTCCTTTAACTCAACCATTTCAATACCAAATGCCCCAAAATTATGGCACAATTCTGCCGCCTGCTCCCCCAGTCTTTGGACAGTACGGGCAGTATGGCCACCGTACGACCAGACAGCTTACCTGGGCGGACCGGCCGCATAACCTCAGCCCATTGATTGGCAAAGGCGCTTGTTGAACCTTGGTGACAAGTTGCATTCGTTTTCTCAAGAAATTCTCAACTCTCTCCAACCAGCAAAAGTGAAGAGTGTACTTGTGGGTGCCTATGATGGTACGGGCAACCCAGAAGAGCACGTCACCTCGTACAGAAACCTGATGTACCTACAAAGTGTGGATGATGCCACATGGTGTAAATGCTTCCCGGTCACCGTAAAGGGTGTGGCACAAGGCTGGCTCAATAGTATGCCGGCAGGGTGCATCACTTGTTTTATAACTCTCAGTTTGTTATTTGTTGGAAACTTCTCCTATAATATTCCACCCCGCAAAACTAGTCTTAACTTGGCGACCATTGTCCTAGGAAAGAAAGAGGGGTTGCGCTCGTACGTCCAGAGTTTCAATCAGGAGAAAGCTCAAATTCAGAATCTGCCGGATGAGATGGCCTACTCAGAGTTCCTTCGAGGTTTAAGGCATAATGGTTTCAAGTTTTATTTGGTCAGGAAAAAGATTCAGACATGCACAGTTGATTTGCGGGAGGCCGAATCATATATAGAGGCAGCTGATTTTTGTTCACTTACGAAATCAGAAGAGCCATCCAAGGGGGCCAAGAAGAAACAACCTTCTCGACAAAACTCAACCGGCAAAAAGAAGGAAGGAAGCAACAAAAGAAAAGAAGTGTGGGTGGCCGGCTGCCAACAGACGAAATCAAAGAAAGCCAAGACGTAAGAGCCCCAGTATGAGTACAACAAGGATTGCTATTCAATCTTGATGGAGATCAAAGACAAGTTTGAGTTCGAGAAGCCTCAGCCCTTGAGAGGGCCGGCCCAGTACAGAAACAAGAACAAGTACTGTCATTACCACAAAGACGTAGGGCATGACATGAACGACTGTAACCATTTGAAGAGATTGCTGGATAAGTTGGTCAAGAAGGGCATGCTCAACTCGTACTTTCTAAAGTCTAAGTTCACCTACTCTCGGACGGACAACAAATCCGAGAAGATGAAAAACAAAGAAAAAGAAGATGATGGAAACAACACTGACTCAGGATTCGTGGTCGTTATATCAGGCGGCTTTGCTGCAGGTGGCCTGACCATGAAAGGAATTAAGCAAGATGCTTGGAATTTGAAAATGTAATGCACACTAAAGGAATTAAGCAAGTTTCTAGATGGAAAAAGAATGCAATTAGTTGGCCGTGAAGCCAACAACTCGTGGACGAGGAAAAGCATCCAAGCAAAATTCTGAAGAAGGGTCACTCCAAGCATATTAGGTTGGCCAGAAGCGCAAGTCGATTAAGAAAGAGCAAGCATAGCAGCTAATGACCGTCGGTCGGCCAGAAGAGTTAAGGCCACAGCCTGCCGACGATCATACGGACATAGTGCTCGACCCAGACCAGCTTGATCGGATGGTCAAGGTGGTCACTATGGCCATGAGCTTGCTTGGGGATGACTTGGTGAATTCAAAGAATTCAGAGATGTGTTTGCTTTCGAAGCTCATGATATGCCGGGTATCAGCCCAGACTTGGCTGTTCACAAGCTGGCTATGAATCTAGCTGTGAAGCCTATTTGACAGAAAAAGAGAAACCATGGTGAAGAAAGGAATAAGGCGGCCGCAACTGAAGTCAAAAGCTATTGGACGTCGGCTTCATTCGGCAATGTCACTATCCTGATTGGGTAGCAAATGTAGTTCTTGTGAAGAAGCTGAATGGAACTTGGAGAATGTGCATAGACTACACCGACCTCAACAAGACATGCCCTAAGGATAGTTTTCCCTTGCCTAAAATTGACCATCTGGTTGATTCAACGGCCGGGCATGCCCTGATGAGTTTTATGGACACATACTCCGGATTTCACCAGATTCCTTTGTGGGAAGAAGATCAAGAGAAAACAACATTTGTGACCGAGCAGGGGCTATATTGCTACATGGTTATGCCATTCGGCCTGAAGAATGCCCCTGCCACATTTCAAAGACTTGTGAATACGGTCTTCAGAGATCAGATCGGCCGGAACATGGAAGCTTATATTAATGATATGATTATTAAATCAAGGAGGTCAGCGGACCATTTGAAGGACCTTCGAGAAACGTTTACCGAACTCAGGCGACATAAGATGATGTTAAATCCTTGGTGTTGAGTCCGGAAAATTTCTTGGATTTTTAATTGATTAGCATGACATTGAGGCTAACCCTGAGAAGATCCAAGCGATCTTAGACATGAAATCGCCCAAAACCATAAAAGAAGTTCAAAGGCTGACCGGCTGTTTAGTTGCGCTCGGATGATTTCTCTCAAGATTAGGGGATAAGTGCCGTTATTTTTTCCAGATTATCAAGAAGAAAGCAATGTTTGAGTGGATAGAGGAGGCCGAGGAAGCCTTTGTACAGGTGAAAAATCATTTGCATACCCTTCCTCGGCTCGTCAGTCCACTAAGATGAGAAGCTATATATGTATCTTGCAATTTCAGATCATTCCTTAAGTGTCGTCCTGCTTGCTGAAAGGGACAACCATCAGATCCTTGTGTATTTCATCAGCTATGTTCTGCATAATGCCGAGCTTAGGTATCCACCCATTGGAAAATTTGGCTTAGTATTGTTCATGGCATCAAAGAAGCTAAGGCCCTATTTTCTTGCTCACTCGATTGTGGTCTACACGGACCAACAGTTGAAGAAGTCGTTCACAACATTGGAGGCTAGTGGCCGAATGCTTAAATGGACCTTAGAATTGAGAGGTGATATCACATTCAAACCCAGAAAAGCAATCAAGGGCCAAGATTTTGCAGATTTCTTGGCCGAAATGACAAGACCGGACTTACAGCCGGCAGGGGATCAGATTTGGAAAGTTTTTGTGGTGGAAGTGCAACAACGACCGGATGTGGCGCTGGTATCATATGTCAATCTCCAAAAGGAGACAATTTTGAATATGCGTTGAGATTCTAGTTTCAAGCCTCTAATAACGAGGCTGAGTATGAAGCCCTCTTCGCCGGCCTTAGAATAAGTAAGGTGGTCGGAGCAACAAAAATTGATGCAAGCTTAGACTCTCAGCTGATAGTCAGCTAAGTGAATG